TACTCAGGGGCTTTAATTGAAGAGTTTTACAGACAATTTACAGAGGTGTGAACAGAATTAAGGGAACGAATAAGAGATGATGAAGCCTTGAGGAATTAGCAACAGCTGAAGTCATTATCACCCCTAGGTCTAAAGGGAGAAAAGATGGAGTGAGTTGTCCAGAAAGCTAGAGAGCTGGGACTGGGAGAGGGAGAGGTGGAAACACTGTGCTGCAAAGGGCAAGGAGGTGACGAGAGAAGTAGGGAATTGACTACCCTGGCATCTCTTCTCCCACTGCTCCTACCCACTGGTCTTCCACCATAGGCCAAACCCAACTGGAAGCCAGAGGGCAGAGACACCTAGATGATGCGATTTACAGAGGTCAGCCTTGTGAGGGGTAAACAGAGACTAGCTAGCACATGTTCTGAGAAATTAAATAATTTGATCAAAAGTCTTTGTGCTGAATTTAAACATTGATCTTCCTGAATCCAGAGTATCATACTATTGTCCTCTTATTGTCTACATTATCACGAATAGCAGCTGGAAATTGGAAGGAAAGATAGAGAAGGAAATTAAATTTCAGGTTATAGACCAACCAATATATTCCAAGAACATAAGACTTTTGTTGCCAAAATGTTTGATGCAAGCTTTATTTTATACCCCCTAGTTGGAGTGCCAGAAGTGTGTTTTAGAATATTGAAGACTCTGAGAAGTAATCGAAACTAACTAATTTTCACTATTTTCTTCAACTGAATTGACCGTGAGAACTTTTTTGTTCATACAATACCAATTACATCACACAATCTTTGTGAAACACACCTGGGGAAGTACTGCTGTAAGCAATGCAGGGGATCGGTGAAGAGAGAGGTAGCTGCAATGTGGAGGGTCGATTTGAAGATGGCAGTGGGGGAGACAGGAAGACTCGATGGGAGGCTCCCCCAGTAATCCAAGTAAGAGATGCGAAGGGCTAAAACCTGGGAAGCTGCAATGAGAGAGGGGAAGAGCAGGTTCCTCTTTGGTGATTGTGGTGAATGGCAACATCATTCACCTGGAGAAGAAAACAGACAGAGGCTGCAAGATTTCAGGCCAGTTTTGGATACATTGGGCATAAGGTGCTTTGGAATAAACAGAGATGTTTTAGTTGAAAATAGAAAATGCAAGATGAGGGTTTGAGAGAATGTATGCTACTCAAGCTACAAATTTGAAGGCCATCAACACATGGGTGACACCTGAAGCCCAAGGAATGGTGGGCATCCCCCAAGTTGAGAAAATAGAGGAGAGAGTCTAACTTAGGGTGTGAGGAAACCTCTTGAAATTACTTAAAACCTGTGTGTCCATGAATATAGCCTTTTTTTTTAGGGAATAGTGTCCCAGAGCTTTCAGCATATTTTCAATGGTATCCTTGAAAGAAAAGAAATTTAAGAACCACTGACATAGACTGAGAAGAGAGGAAGATTGAGAGTGGAGTCTGCCAAGAGAACCGCCAAAGAAGTCTGACACCTGGTGGGAGCAATGCAGGATACGGGCGTGACAGAATCCACAGTGTCAGGAAAGATCAGCAGTTTCCAATGAGCAGAGAAGTTCAGGAAAATTAAATCTAGAGACAATCCTTTAGATTTGAAAATTAGGTAGCTATTGGTGGTCTTATCAAGAGCAGTGTTAGTAGTGGGCGGATGAAAATACAGCAGGTAGAATAGTGAGTGGCTTGGGAAGAAGCAGAGGGTGTGAGAAGAGGGTGAAATAAGACAAAGATTAAGACTGATTTGAGACTGAGACCAATAAAAGCAGTTTTAAGGCCCACTCTTGGAGACCCTTATAAAAAGGAAAGTGGATCCCACATACCGAAAGATAAAACAATTTCTCTGGTTGAATAACAAATATAACTCATGAAACTTATCAACACACACACATATGCGAAAGCAGCAAGTGGAAGGAGGGAGAGTAGACCACAGTAAGGATAAATGTTGAAGGTCAGAGTCAAGAGGATTTGCTTTTGACTTGAGCAGGTGGGTGAATGATGATGCCTTTTCATGGACTTGGG